ATATGTCATACTCGCTTTTTTTGCCGTAGTCGTCTTTAAAGTGAAATTGTCTTGGTTTAAAAAGTAAGAAAAAGCCCCTTCTGATGATGTATGTTGAAGGTGACAGTGCGTTTTGAAAGTGCTTGGGATGTGTTTGGTGGATGCTCTTTGAAATGTGTTTTGCTAGTTGGCTAATTGACAATTACCCCTTTAACGAAGGAATAAAGACAAGAGGTTGGTGACCAGCTAAGGTTCGTGCTTTATCTGCAGTGCTAACTGGTGCTACAGATAGCCTCAGGATCAGTGGCTAGCAGTCAGGATTTGTTGAGTACTGTAGGGATTCTCAGTTGAGGAATTTATGTAATGCATTCTGGGTATTGTAGTGAGAGAACACTGATAGACAGAAACACCAAAAGGATACATAATTGTAAATTCTGCCAAGCGATAAGGTTGAGAGATATAATGATGCACTGCTGAATACTAAATGACAGATAACACAGTAACAGCAAGTTTTAGGCTGGAACGCCTCTTTATTTAATACATCTCTCCAGAATCATTACAGTCTCTTTGTATTTCTCTTTGTGAGTGAAATTAACAAAGTGTCATAAAAATAATGAAATAAAATACCAATTCTGTTCTGTAATCTGCTCTCATACGTTTCTGAAACTCCCAATAATTGATTTGGTCTGCGTTGGTTTAGTAATGCATTCCTTACTCGGAGGTCATCGACTTGTCTTTGTAATATATCAGTTCCACATTGCTTGGTGTTGTATTCACATTTCTTTTGGCAAGGCTTGGACAAAGGAATTGCTCACAAGTTGCAGAAGCTGTACATTTCCTGTTTGATATCAGTAGGCCAATGTTTGAGTCAGGATTAGGGGTCTGCAGTGTGACAGTATGTTATCGTTATCGTGACAGATTAAGACCAATTATAGAGAGCTAGAGAGCAATAAGTGTGTATCAAAACTGCATAAATTGCATAGGAACACAGCTGAGTGTCAGCACAGTGTGCCATTATATTATATTACTGATTTATTTTTACTACAGGTGGCACAGAATCACTTTTTATTTTCTCATACAGATACTGATATTGGAACCTCGAGTGTTGGCCGAGAGACATCTTTTAAAAAGCTATGAAACAAACTTTTTATTTGAAGCACTTCACTTAAAGGGACTGAACCATTGCTACATCTGTTACATACGTGCCTACTGTGCTCCTACAGTGGTACAGTGATAGTCCCTAGAGTAAGATTTTCCAGTGAAAGACTAGGACCTACCCCCCCTTTCTGATGATGTCTGATGTATCTTGAAGGTGTGAGGAAGCCTTTTGGGACTGATACTTCAGGGCAGGCGGTTGAAAATTTAGGTAACATTTTACTGTAGGGTGCTGTTCATAAGGCTACATGACACCTACGTAAGCTTGTCATGACAACCAACATAACCCACATAAATGTGTATAAAGGCTTATTCCAATAGGTATCGTCTGTCATAAAGGCTCACTTTGATCAAAACTGGCACATATAAACTTAATAGAGAATGACTCGCACTGGAATAAGCATTTATAAACTTTTATGTAGAGTTATGTCAGTTGTCACGACAAGCTTATGTAGGTGTCATGTAGCCTGATAAACAGTAAAGTGTTACCTAAATTCATTTATTTATTTACTCACTCACTCGCTCATTTGCTCACTTTCCCAGTGGTTGTATGACATATTTGCTTAATGCATTCTGTGTATTGTAGTAAAAGAACATGGATGAACAAAAATACGAATTCTCTTTAACCAATGAGACTGAGGGATGCAGTGCTGGTCTACAGAGTGTTACATAACATAACAGTTAACATATTAAATCCTAGTTTTGCTAGGATGTCCATTTTAAGATGAGCATCCAAAAGTAGGAATTCATGCAAAAACTACTCAAACGCTGTGCTTCCCCTCAGGAAGAACTACACAGCTAGCATCATTATAATTAGAGTGTGAGAGGGAGCTAACCAATCAGCTTTTTCTGCTGAATTCGACTCGATACCTGATATCAGATCAAGGCCTTGCCAATCGGTGCAATTTTTGTCCCTAGTTCCATCTGAAAAAATGCTGTAATAAAATGCTTGACCATATTTTTTTAAATGTGACCCTTCTTTTTTTGTTAGTGCATTTTCTGTTTTAACATGTTCACAAACCTCAGAACGAAATATTGTATATTGTAACAATGCATTCAAGTGTTGTGATGATATATTTGGTAACTAGAAGGAGAAAATTTGTGAAAGAACTTTAAGCTGTTGCTATGAAATTCTAAGATTGTTGCAAAGATGTTGCCAGGCAATTGCTTTGGAACTCCGGGTGGTTGCTAAGGTGTTGCTAAGTCATCGCTATGGTTTCCTAGGTGGTTGCTAATATGTGTGTTGGTATGTATGTTAATCTGTATGTAACGTCTATGGGGCACTGTGAGTGATGTCCATTGTGACATCATTTTTGGTAGTTAGATTTGAATTTCCTCAACATTCCGTCACTCTTTTTCTACGGGAAAAAGTGAGTGAACGCTGTATGAGTATCATAGATGCAACTTGTGAAAACAGTACAAAAAAAGCATAAAATGAATAAAATAAAAACAAAGATTGAAAATAAATTGAAGATCAGTAGCAAAGTTACTTGACATAACTATGCCTTAAACATGTCATGCTGTCATGAGTTACCATGACAGATTATGCCCTGTAATATACAATGTAATAAACATGTTACCATTACTGTTAATTATTATGCCAAATGATAAATGATGTCATGACAGCCAGCTAGAGTACACAGCAAAAATTTGCATGTGACATAAGCTGTCATGACAGTAAACTTTATGGCGCCATCATGACAATTACCATTAATGGCACTTATCATACATGCAAACTCACTTCCTTTTAATGATGGCCATGCCACTCACATGAATAGCATAGATTTGAAAAGTTATTTTAGGAAAGGGTGAGTGGGAGGGATCTGCTGCAGTTTATGGTCTTAACACGGCCAATCTGCAGATTATTTACTTGCCATCACACCTAACACAACGTGAAAGAGAGCCACGTTTCATGAGCATGTGTAAATTATTATTGTTTCCAACCAAGACATTCGTCTACCACTTTGTTTTTATCTGAAACTGATGTAGATTACGTTGATTTCTGTGGACTGTCATAACTGCAGTGAGAGCTTATGTACATGGCAAGTGGCAATCATTGGGGTCCAAGCACTATGTGGAGTCAGTATAGGCCTTTTAGCAGATAGAACACAAATGATTGGCAGTGTTTGGAAAAGTTTTGTTGATACCTTTATGATATTTGATGAGGAGGGGTCTCAAATGGAGATGCCAAATTTCAAGCAGATTGACTTTTTGACCTTGGTTCGATAAGCAATAGGTTTTTTAACAAATAATACAGAATATAGATCAGAATTTTCATGTTAAAATCATAAAATCAATCATTTTTTTATTAGTTTTCATGTCTACTTATATTACTTACTAAAATCTGTCATGACGACTCATGACATCATATGACCTCTGCCACAACATGTTAATGGCATGGTTATGTCAGTGTTATGTAGCAGGGTTCATGTAAAGTGTTCCCTTGTATTTTTGCAGCATTGCTCACTCTTACTCAGAACTGATGGCCAGTGGTTTGTGTTCTGCTGTGTTCCCGGTCTCTGAGCCTGACACACAGTTTCTCTCTGTTCTGAGTTCACACAACACACACACACACACAGTGGTTTGGCATAGTACAGGTTTGCTGTTGAACACTGTGATGACACTTCCTAAGCATGCCTGTGAAGTGTGCTCTCAGCATTCTGCCTGTGAACACGGAAGGGTCAGATACAAAGGGAGGTCATCTCTGCTAATCTTTATTCATCAGAGTACATCACCTGAGGGGAAACGGAGCAGCTGGTACTGTCAGAGTGGAAATCTCTTTCATCTGCTTCAGTCAACTGTCATAAAGCTCGCCGGGCCAAGCCTGATTACAGTCTCTCATGTTTGGCTAGTTTTGAGTCTCTCGCTCTCTCTCTCGCTCTCTCTCTCTCCCCGTCTCTGGGTCTCTCAGTGCTGGGTATCACATTTTGTTGCCCTTACTGATTTTAAGGGGCTAAAATGTCTATTATCCAATAATACATCAACCATAAAAATCTTTTATTACTCCTTCATTTTTTAATTTTATACACCAGTAGTTTTAGTTAAACAGTGCTTTGCTGACAGTTGTATATTATTCAATTGTCACTCTTCTTAAACTCAAATAAACAGCAGAAACCCACAGTCATATATATACACACTTCTGTACATTTTAATGCGTAATTTCTGTTCATCTGCTGAATCTAACATATCTAACAAAAAAGACAAAACAAAATGTGGCCAAAAAAAAAACCTAAAAATGTTCGAAAGTTATGGTACATTTTACATTCTATGTTTTATTTTTTTCAAATATGTTAAACTCCAATTTGTTAAAATAAACAGAAATTAAGCGTAAAATCTGCAGGAAAATGACATATTTAAGTTTGCTCCCTTTGGACGATGTATAACTTATTTTTCAAACCAAACATAAGGGCTATCCAGACAGAAAACACATTTCCAGAAAGAAAACTTACTTTTTATTTATTTATTTAAAACATATTTAGACTTTACTTTGAAAACTTTCTGAAGTATCCAGCAAGTGACATTTATTGCAGTTAACTAAGGTTCTGTTGTGTATCAGTAACGCTAAGGCGAAAAAGCTATTGTTGTCACCACCAATACAGGTACACTGGAATAGACTTCATATACGCTGTTAGAAATAAAAGTTCTGTGCTGGTATATTTTTCGTTCATCAAGGTACAAACAATGTAAATGTACCCTTAAAAGTAAAACAGTGGTTTTAAGGTCCAGTTGTGTATCTTAAATAAGTTTTTCCAGGTGAAAAGTACAGATTTGTATCTTTTCATAACCGAATGTTTTAAAACAGAACAGTAAAATAAAAAGCCTGGAGACGAGACGGGGTGTGTGGAGTCAGTACAGCTTAGAAAATATCATTTCTGTGCATTATGGTTCAGTTATGTTCCCTGACTAAAGGTACTGAGATGTACCCTTGAGGGCTTCACCCCAGTGACAGTTTATTACCTTATTTCTGAGACTGTACTGACTAGCACTACTCTGTTGAAGGCTGCAGTGTTCAGCAGATAGAGGTAAATTACAGTGGTCTGGAGATCATGTCTTCTGTACACTCTTGGCGTGCTGCTTATTTTGTATTTTCTCAGCAGAACTGGACAGTACTGTGTGTTATCTTTGGCCACTGGGCAGACTTTCCATCTGCTGTAAACACCACAGACAGAGGAAGGATGACGAACTCGTTCTCACGTTGCATAATCACTGTCAGGAGGATGATGATGATGATGATGATGATAATTGTGTGTACTCGGGTTTCATCACTTTGTGTCTCCAAGTTCCAGAGTGCCAGGTTTCGGGGAGAAGAGCTGCTTCAGTCATGTGAGAAATTAGCACATGTTTACATTGTTTTGCCTCAGATTATGCAGATAGTAGCAGCGTGAGTGGGAGCAAGTCCGGGCCGCTCAGGGGTGGGAACAGGAAAGAGAGCGCTGTCTAAAAACACACTCTGACTGATGATGTCAGCACTGTTCCCAGACTGAAGCCGGTGTGAGTGGAGGCTGGAGAGGGCTTGCTGTGGTGGAGCTGGAGTGTCGTGTATGTGCGATGTGTGCTGTTTGGAGACTGTGAAGGACGAGTGCACACTCAGCCGGCCGCGCCACTCGTGGGACGTCCTGCCAGAGCTAATGTGGGTCTGAAGTTTGAGAGAAGTGTAGAGGAGCCTGCTGCTGCTGCCAGAGGAGAGCCATGAGCCTGGAGGGAACTTCTGGGTCACTGTGAAATTTAGGATAGAAGCAGGTCTGAATGCTGAATGCTAATGTTTTTCACTGATGTACACAAAATGATCAGTGATTTTAATTCTGAATGCTGACACTTTTAACTTAAGTGCACAATATGAGCAGTAGTGTATATTGTGCATGCTACTATTGTTTGCTTAGCCTGTGAGCACAAAATGATCACTGGTTTAAATTCTGCATGGCAGTACTTTCAACTGAAGTGCAAAACATGATCACTTGTGTGATTTCTGAATGCTAATACTTTTACCTTCAGTGAAACAAAATGATCTGTGAAAGCTTAATCTAAATACTTTTAACTTAAGTGTACAAAATGTTTGTTTATTAAGCACGCCAACGGTTGCTGGTCTGAATTATAAATGCTAACCCTTTAAAGTACACAAAATGCTCATCAGTCTGAATTTGAAATATTGATGCTTATTACTTAAATAGACAAAATGGTCATTAGTTTGAATTTTAAATGCTAATGCTTATTACTTAAATAGACAAAATGGTCAGTAGTTTGAATTTGAAATGCTAATGCTTATTACTTAAATAGACAAAATGGTCAGTAGTTTGAATTTGAAATGCTAATGCTTATTACTTAAATAGACAAAATGGTCATTAGTTTGAATTTGAAATGCTAATGCTTATTACTTAAATAGACAAAATGCTCAGTAGTCTGAATTCTAAATGCTTATTACTTAAATAGACAAAATGGGCAGTAGTCTGAATTCAGAATGCTAATGGGTATTACTTAAGTAGACCCAAACGGTCATTAGTTTGAATTCTGAATGCTAATGCTAATTGCTTAAGCACACAAAACAAACACTGGTCTAAGTTGTGAATGCTGACACATTCTAGCTGTTCATTTTCTGTTGAAATCTTGATGTAAGTTTTGATTGCATTATTCATCTTTGTATCTTCTTTATATGTTTCTATTGGAGTTTTGAGTCACTGTTTAAAGATCACTGTCCTTCAGCACCTTGAAGTAACTTTGGCTTTAGTTCCTGGGCGTGTTCTTATGGCAAGCGAAACCCTAGAGTTGGTCAACAAGCAGTGGGTGTGAAGTGTTTCTGGGAGATGTTGAATGAGGCCCTCGGAGAGAGGGAGGGGCTAGCTTTGTGTCCAGAAAGAGAGCGAGAGGGAGGGAGGGGGCTGTCAGGCTAGCATGTGTCTGGACTACAAATGTACAGAAAAACATCCCGAGAGTTACGGCACAGTTCGATAACAGTTCGTTTCCTGTAGCATCTCCCTGTGTAGCCAACAGGACAGCTGCCTTTCTTCGTCCCCTCTGATGTGGACAAATGGACGAGAGGTTATCACACCACTTTCAGGATGTTTTTTTTCCCTGTTTCTGACCTTTCTAGAGCCTCAGTAGCCTTGAAGCTTTTTCCTGGTTCTCAGCGAAAGCTGGTAATGGCTTGTGTTGGATACACAACAAAACGCTTTAAACTTGAATGGCGAGAGGATGTTATATACATAATGTATGGCCTACGTCCATTTTACCTTTTTCTTTTTATAGCCTTTAAAGTCTAGTAGCCACAGGGCATGTGTAGCTTATGTAGTGAGAGGAGTCGTGTCTTTAGGCCTGTATCAGACAGTGTCAGCTCCTTCCTGTGGTTTTCTCAGGATACGCTTCTGTTTCTGTTGTGTAATGTGCCCTGTCTGGACATGCTCTCTGCAGACTCACGGTCAAACACATGTACGTGACCGTGAAGCGTTTACTGCTCTCGCTGACTGCTAGAATTCCTTTTAGGGATGTAAAAGTTTATCATTGATCAGAAGTGGAGATTCAATTCAGTTGCATTGGTTCTGGAATATTAGAATTGATTTTAATAATTTAAAAAAGTAAGCAGTACACTTTACACTGAATTTTAAATGACAGTATTTTTAACTTAAATGCATGATCACATAAGAATTTTACATGTTAATACTAATTACTTAAGCATCTAAAATGATCACATGTCTGAATTCTAAAGGCTAATATTTGTTACTTAAGCACGCCCACGGTTGCTGGTCTGAATTATGAAGGCTAACACTTTTAAGTACACAAAATGCTCATCAGTCTGAATTTGAAATATTGATGTTTATTACTTAAGTAGACAAAATGGTCATTAGTTTGAATTCTCAATGATAATGCTTATTACTTAAGTGCAAAAAATGGTCGTTAGTTTCAGTTCTAAATGCTAAAGCTTATTACTTAAGTGCACAAAATGGTCATTATTTTCAATTCTAAATGCTAATGCTTGTTACTTAAGTAGACCAAAATGGTCAGTAGTCTGAATTCTAAATGCTAATGCTCATTACTTAAGTGCACAAAATGGTCATTGGTTTCAATTTTAAATGCTAATGCTCATTACTTAAGTAGACAAAATGGTCAGTAATTCTGAATTCTAAATGCTTATTACTTAATTTTAATAATTTAATAAAGTATCCAGTAAAGTTATCGGGCTGATTTTTGATGCTCAGTTTTTATTTGCAAACTTAAAAAGCATGATGTGTAGTTTTGTTACACTACTGTGTAAATAGGACTTCCAGTCACATCTTTGTGTTTTGTTTTTTTAGTAAAAATAGGTACTAGAGTCCTCCTAGAAGAGTGTAGTTGACTTGAATTGTGGTGCAATTTGACACTTCATGATACACTGAGTTGTTTCTTAAAGAGCAGTGATTGAATCAGATCTTGAGGTCAGAGATTTACTCACCTGATTCCTCTGTTTTTGTCTTTAAATAACAATACACAGCATCACAGCATAAGTAAGGTCTAGGACAGGCGTGTCAAACTGGGGACCTTTCGGGCCAAAGTGCTACATAGATTAGCGTTTACCCTCAGCTAACACTCTGAATTCAGTTCATAAAGGCCTCGCTAATTAGCTGATGAGCTGAATCAAGTGTGTTTAATGAGGTAGCATGCTGACGTCTGCAGTGTTTTGGCCCACCAGGACTGGAGCCTGACACATGTGGTCCAGAAAGCATGGGTTCTGTCTTGTATGTTGTTTTAAATGCACTGGAGGAATGAGTTTCATTCCAGTTTATCCTTATAAGTGGTAAGAATGGACTTTTTGGCCCAATAACTAATGCAAAAACCTTTAAATTAGGGCTGCACTATCACAAATTTTTATGGCCTGTTCTAGCTTCTATTTCTTAATAGCCAAATTGGCTGATGTCTAATTTTTAATAGCCTTTCTTTAGTCCATTGCTCACACTATGTGGGCCAGATCAGCATATCAAACAATCTAGCACATTTCCTGTACTCTCTACTATCCAAAGTCTCAATGTAAACAACTTTATTTGCCCTTTTGAACCAAACATCTCCCAAGCAATCCATTCTGAGAACGGGCCCTTTCACTTGTTTAAATCTTCTGTTAGAAGAGTTAAAGTGCTCGAATGTACACATTGACCACAGTGATATGTATCAGCATGTAGATTTAGTGATGCCACTGATTCCTATTCATGTTTTCTTGTTCAGAAATGTCGTTTGTGACACAAACTAAATAATAATAAATTAATATTTGGTTTTGTTATATTATGTTCTCTACATATCAAATAAATGCACCAGTGGCACTGAGAAATCATATGATTAATTGGGAAGAGTGGATTAAATGGCAGAAATTTTTGAAGCGTTCATCACTTAAATCACTTATTTAATAACATGAAAAATCAGTTGTCTATTTAAATAAAGTGAATCAAATAAAGCGCTACGTCAAAATAAGGAAGTATCTGGCTATTTAGCACATTGAGTCATGTTCAAATACACTGCACTGCTTGCATTACGTTATTTACATCAGAAAAAAATTGCAACACAAATCAAGCCAAATATTATAAATCAAGCCATAAACATTATAAATCATTGTTTGTCCCTTCTTCAGATTGATAACCTTACACAGGAATATTCCTATATAAAGATATACATTATTTAAGTCATTTTCGACCATTTTCATTGTTCTATTTGTCACACAATGTTCACACAGTGTCACGGGCAGCTAGCAGTTGCAGATGGTGTTAGAAAATTAGGAAAAGTTGAGGAGACCCAATTTGATAAAACAGCGACAATATCAATATTTTCTATGATGTGTGATTCCAGTATGTTTGTTCTGTACTAAATGTAAAGAAAATATCCCTTTTTAAAACCAATCAAATCTCTGTCTTCCGTTTTCTTTTAGCCCCTCCATGTATACATGGATCCAGTGCCTCTGAAGGCCTGAAGAGTCGGGTTTAAAGCAGGAGGCGGCTGTCCTTCAGCTCCATGGCAGCCACAGCCAGCAGTACAGGCATGTGTGCCCGGCCCGGCTGGGTAGCTTTCAGCAATGAGCCGGAGCAGACAGGTATGCACCAGCAGGCAGGTACATGCTAATGCACTCCGAGATTCTCCTGGCATTTACTGGGAGCTTACTGAACGAACATGGCCCTGCCCTCTTCAAATACCTTCAGGGTGCAAAAACCTCATCTGCCCTCTTAGCTTTTCATTTCAGCCTGTATTTAAATGTAGAGAGTTTGTTTTTGGTGATGTATGATTCGTGCAATGTGTCTCTGCTGAGTAAAGTCTGGTAATAACACACTGTAACAGACTGTCCTACAAGCAACCTTGTCCTTCAACTGTATTAAAACCATGCATTTAAAGTCAGACATTTGAATTGTTTTGTTTAAATGAGCTTTGTTGTACAGGTTGTACAAACCTCAATTCTAAAAAAGTTCGGACACTGTGAAACGCAAACAGTGATAGAAAGCAGTGCTTTCACCTGCATTTAAACAAAAACAATACAAAGACAAATTACTGAATATTTTCCCTGATCAAATTCATTGTTTTTAGTAAATGTATGCTCATTCTAAAACGAATGCTTGTGACATATTTAAAAGAAGAAAGTTGTGATGGGACAGTTTAAGAAGAGAAACGTTGTGAAATGCCCTGTAAACATCTTTAACAGGTCATGCAATCATGCTTGTGAAGGAGCATCCAGGAAAGGCCTAGTCCTTTATGAAGGACGGGTCAGACCATCTTGCCACTTTCCAAAAAATGGGTCAGCGATTAATGTAGTGGTTTAACGATAATGTTCCTCAACAAGTAATTGCAAGAAATTTAGGTATTTATCCCTATATATGTGATGCATTGTATCAAAAGATTCAGGGTATCTGGACAAATCTGTGTGTGAAGGTCAAGGCTGAAAACCACAGGTGAGTGCTTGTGTCCTTCAACCCTTCAGTCCACACCCTGTTAAAAACTGACGTTTTTGAGATGGATGTCACCACATGGGCTCGGGAATACTTTGACAAACCTTAATCAATAAACACTTTGTCGCTGCATCCACAAATGCAAGTTAAAATTGCACTGTGCACGGCCATGTCCATAAACGTTGCCAACTTCTCTGAACTCAGTCTCATCTGAAATGATCTGATGCACAGTGGAAACAGGTATTGTGGTCTGCTGTGCCAGCCAGATTTGTTTATTGTGAAAATCATGAACTTCGTGTTCTCCAGGCCAAAGAAAAAACTTTACACTGTTACCAGTGTGTATGGGGTGTATTAGAGGCCGTGGCCTGGATAACATCTGTAAAGACAGCGTTAACGCTGAAAGACACAGTATGGGACAACATATTCTCCCTTCTGTGTGACAACAGCATGGCTGCATAATTGGAGCGTGTGGGCGCTAAACTGGCCCGCCTTCAATCCAGACATATCTAATACTGAAAACGTGGCACAATATGAAGTGTAATATATGGTAACAGTTGCTCCGTAGGATTGCGCAGCTGAAGACTGAAGGGAAAAAAAATCCTCTTTCAAACTTGGATCAATTGGCGGCTTCATTCTGCAAATGATTATTAAATGTTGTTAAAAGGAAAGGTGATGTAACACATTGGTAAACCTGCTCCTGTCCAAACATTTTTGGAACATATTTCAGGCATTAAATTTGGAATGAGAGTATAGTTACAAGATACAACATGAAATACCGTCTTTTTGCACTTTTTCATACAGTTTAAGCCAAATGTGTTAATTACTCATTTCTGTTTCTATTAGCGTTTCACATACTGCCCCAACGTTTTGGCAATTTATTTTAGTGTGTATATAGATTTCCTCTATATGTCCACTTAAAACTTGCTCAAGTTCCTGTGTTCAAAAAGGGACATTTGAACTTTATAACTCCATTAGCCTGTAAGTCTGCTCATCACTGATAGTCAGGCTAGAGTTGAGTCATCTCTCAATGTTCCTACCTCATGTCACCGTAGGGAGTTTTCCTAAAGCTCCTCAAATTGAGATGATGGTAAAAGAAAGTACTGCAAGAGGTATTTGCCAAAAAAGCTGTCATGACTTGCTTGATCTCACTTTGGGCCAAGTATTTTTCAATAGTTCCAAATTGTTGCTGCCATAAGAAAATTTCAGCTGGCGTTTACACAGATTTTTTCCTTCTACCATGAAGTTATCATTCAGAGATGTTTTATGACCGTATGTAGAGAAAATAATATGACAGAACATGAACTTCTTTAGTGGCAGTTGTATTTTGGACAGTTAACCTTGGACAGTGTGTTTGCCATGAGAATGTGTTGTCAGCTTGCTGTTAGATTCCCGTGACCTGAGCTCACCACTTCATGCCATAGAGAAGGGGGCTGTGTGGACACACACTCAAACAATCTGCTAGATTCAACACCAAACTGTAGCCTGGTGTTTACCTCCCTCTCTGTATGTGTGCAGGTTTTTATACATTTTTAGGACGAAAGCCTGGTTTAATCCTGGTCATACAAAAACATGGCTAATCTACAGGACCAATACAATGATCTTGACTTTGTAACGTGCTTTTTACAAAAGCTTCATGTTATTACCGTGTTATTACATTATATATATCTCACATATCTCATTACATATACATATTTACATATATATAATATATATTGTTATTATTATTGCTACATATAGATACACACACACACACACACACACACACACACACACACATATATATATATATATATATATATATATATATATATATATGTATATATATATATATATATGTATATATATATATATTGTGTGTGTGTGTGACCACACATTCTAACAATGTATGTGTTTTTCTGCACCCCAGATGACCATAGTGTTGTGCAGATGGCTTCTTGTCCAGCGGACTCTTCTGCCTGGAAAGAGGCGCCCCCTGTGGCTGTGCAGCAGCGCAGCAGCTGGGTGCAGTTTGATGAAAAGCCTTGGTCACCATCTCCACCTCCACCGCAGGTAAAAGGTATGACATCTGGAAAAATGTCCCTGGTTGTCTGGCTATATTACATTGTATCTCATGATTAGTTGATTAGAAATATCCAAGATGGTGGTGCATTTCTGACGCAGCGGCTGCTTCATGTCCGGAAAGTATGGTGCTTTTGTTTCTTGCTGTTAGTTTTCCAAAACAGTTTCACCCAAGTTGTGCATCAGAAACACTGGTGAGCATGTCCATCATTGCCAGACCGGGCTTGATATCAGAAAACAGACCCCATCTGTACTAAAGGACGGGTTGTTGGAGACGCTGTGGCACCTCGGGCTGCTTTGTGCAATGCTTCAAGACCATGGGACTGTTGCTGACTGAGAGAGAACGCGTCGAAAACAGTGTGCCGGAAAGTGTGAATGCGATAAAACGCTTGTGGATTTGAGCTAGGCTAAAAGGTAACTCGTGCTGCTCAGCTCTACTATTTTTCTACTCTCCGACTCCACTCTCTCGACAATAAACTGGATTGCCTCAGACTACAGCTAACTTCCCAGTATGACTCTGCGACTGCTGTGGTTTTGTTTTTATGGAGATGTGGATCAGTAACAGCATTTCAGACATGGCCATCCAGCTGTCTGGGCTAATAGCACACCGTGCCCACAGGGTAGCAGCAACGTTCGGTGGTGGCTTGTAAGATAAGATAAGATAAGATAATCCTTTATTAAGGATTAAGTAATGTAGTAGTAATATCGAATCACTGCCCAGCGCTGGTGGAGTTTGTGATTGTAAAGACCCAGCCGTTCTGCCTCCCTAGAGAGTTTACCACAGTGCTCATTATTGCGGTGTGCATTGCACCCAGTGCTAACTAGAGGGAAGCACTGAACAAACTCTATATGGCATTCAGTAACCTACTGACTGCACAGCTTGGCACATTTTTCATAGTCACTGGGGACCTTAATTATGCAAGTCAGTGCTACATAAATTCTGCCAGTGCACCAATTTTGTGACTTGTGGAGTAAACACGAGTCACAATATCCATGGCATATACAAGGCTGCGCCCCTGTGCTCTGTCATGTTAATTCCAGCATACAAACCTCTGCTCAAGCGTGCCAAGCGAATTCTGAAACAGGTGAGAACCTGGTCTGAGGTGGCCATCTCAGCACTTCAGGACTGTTTTTAGCACACAGACTGGAACGATGTCAAGAAAGTTGCTATATATAATGATTCAACAGATTTAGAGGAACATACAACATCTGTGACTGGCTGCATTAGTATATAGTGCATAGGCAATGTGACTTCCTTCAAGACTATCACCACATGCACTGACCAGAAGCTGTGGATGGCTGCAGAGGTGCATGCGCTGCTGAAAACCCAGAATGCTGCCTTCAAGTCAGACAACAAGGCAGCTCTCTGCACAGCAAGAGCCAACCTGTCCCAGGTTATCAGCAAGGCAAAGCACACTTTGCACAGATAATCCACAGACACTTTCTAGACACCAGAGACGGACAGCAAGATGTGGTAGGGCATTCAGGACATCACTGACTACACAGTGACCTCACATGCCTGTGACGGTGATGCCTCTCTCCTAGATGCGCTGAACGATTTCTACACACGGTTTGAGGCTCAGAACAACCAGTCAAGGAGGAACACCACCACTTCTCCCACTGAACAAGTACTTAGTCTATCCATGGTAGATGTTAGGACTACTCTTTCCAGAGTTAACCCACAGAAGGCAGCAGACCCTGACAACATAACTGGCCGGGTGCTCAGGTGCTCAGGGGTTGTGCTGTCCAGATTGCTGATGTCCTTACTGATGTCTTCGACATCTCACTGTGCCAGGCAGTTGGCCCAGACTGCTTCAAAACAACTACCATCACCCCGTGCTGACAAAATCTACTGTTTCTTGCTTTAATGATTACCATCCCATAGCGCTCACTCCAGTCATCATAAAGTGCTTTGAGTAGTTGTTAATGAAACACATAACGAGTCTTCGTTCCACACTGGACCCATTTCAGTTCGCTTATCGCACTAACCATTCTACACAGGATGCCACATCCACTGCAGTATCAGTATGCAACTGAATACTGGACATACGGACTGGGAGACATCAGTCTGTCAGGATTGGCAAAAAAACCTTGAGCTCCGCTACACTGAACCCCGGCGCTCCCCAGGGCTGCGTGCTCAGTCCCCTGCGGTGAGAGTGATCCTTGCGAGTCGTCCTGCAGTCAACAATAATTTCTTTTGTTTCATCAACATTAAGAGATTTCATGGGGAAGGAAAAACTCTGTGTTCCTTGGTCTGCACATCACCGACGACCTCACCTTGACCCTCAATACCACCTGCCTAGCCAAGAAAGCTCAGCAGCCACTTCCTGCGAAGGATGAAGAGAACAAATCTCCCTGCCTCCATTCTCACTTTCTACGGGGGGAGCGTCCTGACCAGGTGACTCAATTTCTGGTATAGGAACTGCATCAACTTGAACTGCAGGACCCTACAGCGCATAATCAGATCATTGGGGCATCTTTATCTAACGTCAGCACCTCCGACCACAAGTGCTGCCCTACCATACCTTTTTTGGACTCTTCACCCTCCACCCATGTGGAAGAAGGTACTGGAGCATCCGTTTCACCACCACCAGACTCCGCAACAGCTTCTTCCCCAAGGCGGTCAGATTACTGAACACACTGATGACCCCCAGCATCCACCTGGGCTAACCTAGACCCTTTTCGTCATCCATTTAAACTAACCTAGACCCTTTACAATATCCACCAGGACTAACCTAGACCCTCTCTAGCATCCACTTGAACTAATCTTTCTAGCATCCACCTGGACTAATCTAGACCCTTTCCAACTTCCACCTGGACTAGTCTAGATCTTTTTCAACATCCACTGTAGCCCGATCTCACACCCCTTTACCATCACTGCATGCGTCTATCTGGTGTCCTCTCAAGGTTTCTTCCTCTTGCCCTTAGGGAGTTTTTCCTTGCCACTGTCGCCTTTGGCATAGTTCATGGGGGCTTGGACCCGGATTTTTCTGTAAAGCTGCCTTGTGACAACACCTGTTGTAAAAAGCGCTATATAAATAAACTTTGACTTGACTTGACTCGACTTGACTTGACTTGCTTGCACTTTAAATGATGCCAATCCATGTGTACATATGTGTACATGTACATCATATACATGTAAATGATACCCATTCATATATACGGTTTTGTTGTCCTGTCTAGTGTTTGTTGCCTTGTGTATTCATTGTTCTGTATACTTACCAACTGGTGTATTTATTGTATATCATTGCTGTCCAACAAAAAACAAGTATCTCCAAAATAGTAACTTTATAGGAAAGGGCAAAAACGTTCTTTACTTTCAATGTAAGTTAATGGAAAAAGTTTTTATTCTAAGCAGTTTTAGAGCATTTCTATTGGTCCAATCATCATGAAATTTTCACACAATGTAAAGGACAGCTGCTGAGCTCAGACAGTGCAGAAAAGTAAAAATCGCAAAAAATGTTTTTCATTGGACAGCGACGATATTCTGCATTTGTTTTACATGGTTGTGTATCTGCACTCTATATAGTTTTGCATGATGTCCTGCTGTGGTGTGCTGCGCTATGGGGCTTAAAAAAAGCAACATTTTGTTCCAGTTTATACAAGTTATATTGAGGAATGGCAGTAAAGACCACTTGACTTGTCTAGTTCATTCTAGGGCTGCCACTAACGTTTTTTCTCTAGTCCAGTAATTGAATTACTGCTATTTGATTAATTGACTTATTAGACTATTTTCATTTATATGGTTTCCTCTCATGTTGATCGGGGCTTGAACAGTCAAAAAAGGGGCTGTAATCATTGTTAATGATAATTTTTTTTTGCTGGTCTGTGATATTCATCTCCCCTCTCAACTGACATTCTTGACTTCTTTGCTGAAATTAAAGATTCCCTGTGGACGGTCACATAGGGCTCATTTAAGAAACCCTCAGAAAATGATTTAGTTTGTGTGTATATAGTTTAATCCAGCAGTGGACCGCAGTCGGCTGGCTATCTTGTGAATGTTAGTTTTGGTAGTAGGTGAATCTACGCATTCGCCACACTGACAATCACCGTAGTAGTTAACTTTCTCAGAAAGCTGCCTGGTGAACTGTTAACTTACCAGCTGATACGTTCTTGCTAAAATCATGTGTGTCTGTGTTTGGTTGTGGTGTGTTTTTCGTGCAGTGATGGAGCGACGCAGCTCTTCATGCAGTTTTCTCGATGGAGATTAATCTTGGTTTTGATTAAATGTTTCAGCTACTGGTTTAAAGCATTTAAACTTAGCTTATTCTTTTCAGTATACTGCCAGAATTTGAACCTCTTCGCTCTCTGTTGCGCCAAGGAGCTATTAAGACTCAGATGTTGCCTGATGGTTTTTCTCTTTTCTTTTTTTCTCTTTTTATTTTCTTTGAAGTAACTCTAATATAATACATAATATATAATTCTGTATATGTAATTTTCATCCAAATTTGCGAAAATAAGCATTGTTGTTTTTGTTTATTTTATTTATTTTTTTTTACCAAGATGTTTCAGTTGGGCCTTCCGCCCAACGACAGCTGGGATAGGCTCCAGCAGCCCACCGTGACCCAGAATGATAAGCAGTTTAGAGGATGGGTGTGTGTGTGTGTGTGTGTGTGTGTGTGTGTGTGTTTCAGTTGGTGCCTTTTTCATACTGATTTTCAGTACCTAGATCAGGGGTCGGCAACATCCAGCTCTTTTACTGTCCTGTTGCGACTCCACAGCAGAGCTAGATTTTAAGTAAAAATAAAATAATCCTCCTTTGTAGTAAAATAAAGCTCTGCTGATCGTTCAACACAGTTTTAACAATAAATGGTCTAAAACACTTGAGTTAATGTAGAACTGCGAATTCACCCTTTAACTGATGAAGGTTGGTAGCAACGCAGACAACAGTCTCACCTAGTTAGTAGCTAATAACACTAAAAAAGTCGCAACTGGCACCATTTAAGGTGGAACGGGAAAATTCTAACAAGATGCTGGTGAATGAGAAGCTGACTTCAG